GCTAGCCGTGGAGGCCCGCAAGTGCGCCAAGTGCCAGGCGCAACTGCGTGAGTGACTGGACGAAGGCACGGCAGGGACTCTGGCGGCACGGAGTCTGGCGGCCGCCGGCCTTGCTTCGCACACCGCGGGGGTGTGTTTCTGCAGGGCCGCCGCCGCCTGCACCCCGTGTGGTCGGTAGTGAACGGCGCCAACGTGTGCGCTCTCCTCCTCCCCTCCTCCTCCTCCTCCTCCTCCTCCTCCCCTCCTCCTCCTCCTCCTCCTCCTCCCTCCTCCTCCTCCTCCTCCTCCTCCTCATCCTCCTCCTCCTCCTCCTCCTCCTCCTCCTCCTCCTCCTCCTCCTCCTCCTCCTCCTCCTCCTCCTCCCCCCTCGCCAGGGGCCCCGGGGGGCAAACCTGCGGGTCAGGTTGAGCCTGGCGGCGCGTGACTCTCTGGGGCGGTGGTGCCGGTCCCTGGATGCGTCGCCCGAACGACCTCTGCATGGCGAAGCTGGGCACCTTTCGCTCTGGGGCCTCACGTCGCCAGAGTTTCCTTCGTGGCGCGAGCTAGCCGCCGAGGGCTGCCGTCGTGTCGTCGAGACTGACGCCGCTAAGTTGCACGGTTGGTCCTACCATCTTTGCAGCGCTGGCGTTGTCCGGTCTGGCACTTGGCCGCCGAACTTCGCGGCAGGTGTCGAGAATGCATGCGCTATCAATTACAAAGAGTTGTGGGTCGCGGTGCAGTGCGTTCGCCAAGAACCAGCATGGTTCCGCGGCTGGCGGGGCGTGTTTCGAGTGGACAACTCGGCGGCGCAGCATTGCTTTCATTTTAGGGATGGTCGCTATGACAACCTCCGCTACTTGGCGGAAGAATTCGAAACATGGGAACGCGCCGCTAGTTGTTGGAGCCTGGCGGTCCACATTTCGGGGAGGGCTAATGTCATCAGCGACGCTGGTTCCCGCGATGCCGCCGTCGCTGGCCGTTGGAATGCGGGCCCTTGAATCATGCGCCACGTCATCCCAAACTACGGCCCTTTTGGTTGCAAGTCATTTTCGGACGCAGTGGGCCGTGCGTCCCAGGCGGCTTGGTGGTGCCACCCCTCCGACTCCGCTCTTGGTGTGATGCCACCGAGTTCGGTCGTGCAGCGTGGGCCCATCCACCGCGGGCCTTAGCCAGAGAGGTGTTGGATTTGCTTGCCAACGCTGTCCAACAAGGGCGGCGCGAGGAGGCCTCCGCCCTTGTGCTGGAAGACTCGGGCGCGCCTTGGTTCCGCAAGTGGAAGCGGCGCGAACGTCGGGCTGCGCTCTCCGGCCTCTTCCGGGCCCCCGCTCCACGTGGCGGTTGGCGCCGCGCACCGATCACCGATTTGCCAACGCTACTGTTGTCTCTGCGCCGAGGCAAAGGAAAATGCGCAGCACTCCGCGGTTGCGGATGAGAGTGAGGGGGCGGCGGGGGCGCCTGCTGTGCGCGAGGCTCTTCGACCAAGCCCGCCGCAGGCGCCTAAATTTTACAAATCCGCGGCCGGCCTAGCTGCGGGACCCCGCACGGAGAGATTTATATATATATATATACAGAAGCATATAGATATGTGTATGATTCGATACATACATACATATATATATATGTACATATATCTTCATATACATACATCGACATGTACATCTACATATATACATGTATTCGTATCAACATGTGCATGCCAATCCATATATATATATAGATGCGTACACATATATCGACTCATACATTCATTTACGTAGATCATTTTCATATGTATACATACGGATGTAATGTTATATGTAACTATACATATCGGCAGGCACACACACTGATCTCTAGATACATATATATGTATATATACAAAGATAAAATAATTATAGAATATACATAGCTATATATCTATTTACATACATATATACACACACTGGAGGATCGATAGTTTTTAATAACATTTAGCGAGATGCTAGTATGGACATATCGAGACGCCAGGGAATGACGGCGGCGGCGGCGACGGTGGCGCTGGCGGCGGCGACGCTGAGCCGGCGGCCGCCACGCCGCCGCCAGGGCGCGCGGCCCGCCAGATGTCGCCAGCGAGCGGCGCGCCTCCGCGCAGCGCTCGCGCCGAGGTCCCCGCCCATCGACTCCCTGGCGTACGACACGATGATGAGGTGCACGGAGGGTGCCAGACACGATCGCTTTGCAAAAGGGCAGGACGGGAGCTTTTTGGCTGCTTTCGGCCTCCAGGGTCTCTGGCCGGGCCCCCGGGACCGTCAATAGACGGCTCGCGATGAGAAACTGGTCCTGGGAAAAAGGGTCGGGATTCCGCGGACATTGCATGTACCTCCACGACGTCTTGCGGACTGTGCTGCGACATCTCTGCCTGGCATACGGAGAATCAGTTTCTATCCTCTGGCGCGTGAAGGTCGTTTCCTGGGCCGCCCCCCCTCCTGGGTTACGGGAATGATTGTACGAAGGTGGGGGGCTTGGATCTGGAGGTCGAAGAGGGGTGTGGCATAAAAGGGTGTGGTGCCAATGCTGAACCTGGTCGTGTTGTCTATCGTTGATAGCATCTCCATGTCCACGATTGGCACCGCACCCCTTTGTGCCACACCCCTTTCCTAGCTCTAGATTGGATCCCCGCACCCCCGACATGCTGGTGCTCGCGCGCAAGCTGTGGCGATCGCAGCGCATCCCACGTGCCCCACCCTGCCCAGGCGCTACCGTTATCCAGGGCCCAGCCTTAAGCGGGTTGTCCCTGTACAGGAGGAGTATGCAAAACAGGTACAACATAGTCAGGGGACGATCTTTTTGTGTGTGTGTGTGTGTGTGTGTGACTATTTTGAATATTTCCCCACATCCAAAGTGGGGTTCTTGTTTTCTCTGGACACCTTGCGCAGGAACCTCATCTCACCTCTCACCCCTCTCCCCTTCGCTCACCATCAGCATCATCATCACCACTCATCGTCACTACTCGTCATCATCCTCAGCATCGTCGCTATTATCATCATCGCAATCATTCACACTCACACCATTATCATCCTCATCATCAACAACAGCATCATCATCCGATCAAGCATCATCATTACCACCCTCATCCTTATCAACATCATCATCATTCGGTCACTCATCGCCATCACCATTCATCATCATCAGCATCATCCTCATCACCATTCGCTCACTCATCACTTCGTCACCACTCACTCCCTAGCTTGAATATGGGGGACGTCTCGAGCGGGAGCCTCGTGTGTGAGTGAATTGCGGGGACGTCTCAGGCGGGAACCCCTCTCGTTATGGGGCCCGCACCTCATCTTTATAATCAGAGCGGGTCATCGGGATCCTGTAACCGTCGTCACTTTTGGGCTCCTGAGGCCTGAGTATGGGGGAAGTATCAGGCGGAAGCCTCGTCTGTGAGTGAATTGCGAGGAAATCTCATGCGGGATCCCTCTCCGCACTTCATCTTTTTACTCCGAGCGGGTCATCGGAACCTTGTAGCTGTCGTCACTTTCGGGGTGTTGAGGCCTGAATGTCTCAGGCGGGAACCCTCTCTCCAGGCCCGCACTTCATCTTTTTAATCCAAGCGGGTCATCGGAGCCCTGTAACTGTCGTCACTTTTGGGGTGCTGAGGCCTGAATGTGGAGGAAATATTAGGCGGGAGCTTCGTCTGTGAGTGAAACGCGAGGAAGTCTCAGGCGGGAGCCTCCTCCCCATGGGGCCCCGCGCCTTATGTCCGCGGCGCGCAGCTTGAGGCCCGCGGGGTTGTCCCAACGGTCTGGCCCGCGGGGTTGTCCCGACGGCCTGCCCTCGCGCCCCAGCGGCCCGTGGAGTTGTCCCAAAGGCATGGGCCCCGGGCTGTCCCAGAGGGGCTTCGCGATCTAGCCGTCGGCGAGCGCGCGCGCGTTGGCCGAGGCGGCGACGGCGCCGAGGAAAATCGACTTGCTTGCCCCGACCAGGGAGAAAAGATGTGCACATAGAGAAGCGGCAGGATGATGAGGTCGGGGGCAGGGGTTGAGGGAAGGCGATGATGATGATGATGATGATGATGATGATGATGATGATGATGATGATGATGATGATGATGATGATGATGCTGATGATGATGATGATGATGATGATGATGATGATGATGATGATGATGATGACAATGATGACGATGATGATGATGATGATGGTGATGATGATGATGATGAGGATGGTGATGATGATGATGGTGAAAGTGATGTTGATGATGAGGAGGAGGAGGAGGGGGAGTAGGAGGAGGAGGCGGAGGAGGAGGAGGACGAGGAGGATATATGAAAAGGAGGAGGAAAGGAGAGAGCAGAGCTCAGGGCGAGAGGGGGATGTCCGCCAGGGCGACGGGGGAAGGGCTAAGGGTAAACCGAACAAATTATCATGTGGGGTCTTACCGTCGGAGTAATTTTCACGATTCTTTAAATTTCGCCCAGACTCCGCCTGTAGGAGGACATGCCCGACTTAACTCCAGCCCATCTCCCCCCCTCTCCAGCAACGACCTTTACCAGAAATGACGAGACAGGGTTCGACCAGAATGGTGTCTCGGCGCTTTCGTGGATCGTTTTCGTCTCGATGCTGTTTCGAAGAAAGGGTGGAACGAAGACAGGCCGAGGGAAAACGGGACAAACACAATTACGAAAACCACAGTTCAGGGAGCCCCGTAATAAGACAGTAGCCTCATGTGAAGCAGCCCGGATGCTTGACGGATGAGCTTGCAGCCCCGGCGTTTTTCGTCTGTTTTCGTCCCTTGGTCGGGCCGCTTCCGGGGCTTCTTCCCGCGCGCACTGATCGGGGTGCAGGAGTCGATGTTGGTGGGCTCTGGCTTCGCTCCAAATATCTCCCGAAGCAGCGCCTGGGTCGGATGCTGGTGCCCTTGCCCGTTCTTCTCGCCCGCGCTGATCGGGGCGCTGTGGCAGATGGAGATGATGAGCTCCAGTTTCGATCGCCACATTTCTCAGACTAGCGCCAAGATCGGCTGCCGCTGCTCCTGCCAGTCCTTCTTGCGCGTGCTGATCGGGGTGCTGTGGCAGGTGGCGATGGCGGGCTCCAGATTCACTCCCAGCGTCTCGTTGGACAGCGCCAGGACTGACTGCCAATGCCACTGCCAGTCCTTCTCGCGCGCTTGTCGGGGTGCTGGAGTGGACGTTGATTGAGGGCTCCAGTCTCACTCCCATCGTATCTCGGAGTAGCGCCATGGCCGGCTGCCGCTGCTCCTGTCAGCCCTTCTCGCGCGCGCTGATCGGGTCGCTGTAGCAGATGCTGGTGGGCTCCAGCTGCGCTCCCACCATCTCCTTGAGCAGCGCCAGGACCTGCTGCCGCTGCCCTTGCCAGTCCCTCTCGCACGCATTGGTCTTGGTGCTGGAGCAGCTGGTGGTGGGCCCCAGCATGACTCTCAACATCTTTCGGAGCAGCGCAAAGGCCGGCTGCCACTGCTCCTGCAAGTTGCTGGAATGCCCCATTTTCTGCGGCATTTTTCGAGCCGGTTCGACCTGCGATGGTCCCCAGGGCCCAAAGCAAGGCGATACGTTCGCCGCGCTGCTCACGGTCGTGTTGCTGAAGTCCATCTTGCTGCTCGTGGTGGTGCTGCTGGAGTCCGTCATGCTGCGCGCGATCCTGTTGGTGGAGTTCACGTTGCTGCTCGCGTTCGTCCTGCTGGATTTCGTTATGAAGCCCCAGGCCAGGTGGCTCGCTCGGCCGGGCCGCCGCGCGGGCCGCAGATGTCGCCGCCTGGGCGAGGGCGGCCGTCACCGTCCAGAGCCCGGCAGCGCCCGCCGCCGCGGCGGCGTCCGCGGCGGCTGAGGCGGCGCCGGCCGCGCCCGTGGTGCCCACAGCGTCAGTGGCGCCACTGGCGCCAAAAACGCCAGCGGTGTGCGCGCGGCGCCGGGAGCGCCCGTGGCGCCCGCTGCGCCCGCGGCGTCCGCGGCGTCCGCGGCGCCCGCAGCGTTGGCAGCGCCAGCAGCGCCTGCGGCGCACGCGGCGCCAAAAGCCCAGGCGGGACCCCGGTGCCAACGAGGCTTGGCGCGCCTGCGGCGACGGCGGCGGCCGCGGCACCCGCGGCGGCCGCGGCGCCAGCAGCGCCCGAGGCGCGGGCAGCGCACGCGACGCCTGCGGTGCCCTCGGCGCCGGCAGCGCCAGCAGCGCTTGGCAGCCGGCGCGCGCGCGGCGCGGCGGGGCGCCATGTGCGAGGCCCGGGGGCGGCCCGCGGCCCGCGTCGTTGCCCGCGGCGCCGCGGCGTCGCCCGCGGCGCCCGCAGCCAGCGGCGGCGCCCGCCCCGCCGGCGCGCTCGCCGGCCAGCGCTGGGGGCGGCGCCCGCCGCCCCGCCCGCCCGCGGCGCCAGCAGACCACAACGCCAAGCAACACCAAGGCGCGTGGCGCGGCGCTTGCAGCCCGGCGGCACCCGCGGCGCCCCAAGGGGCCCGCGGCGCCCGCGGCGCCAGCGGCGCCCGCGGCGCCCGCGCCGCCCGCAGCGCTGGCAGCGCGGGCGGACGCAGCCGCCTGCTGCCGGCGTCGCCGCGCCGCCGCGGTCTCCATCGAGCCGGGGCCGGAGCGCCGCGCCTGAGCCAGGGGCCTGCTCGAACCCAGACGGCTGACGCCGAAGGGGTACGGCCACTTATACACGCGCACGCACTCAGACTCGCTCACACTCAGACTCACTCGCACGCAGGTTAACTCGTACTCAAGCTCATTTGCATTCCGAATTCCTCGCGCTCGCAGATGTCTGAGGGAGATGGACACACGCCAAAGTGGAACCGCCACGGGCTATCTCAAGGGCTCATTCGCGCTCAGATTGTGGGATGCCTTGGGCGGGGCGCTCGTTCGGCCCAGTGTGCGAGTTCCTATTCAGAGCTGGCTGTTTTTGGGCCCGGGACCGTGAGCAACGGACCTGGGATGAAGAACTACCCCTGGGGACGTCTACCAGACGGTTCTTTGCCACGACTTGCAAGACATGTATTACTTTCCAGGGAGGTGCAGGATGAAACACCGGCCTTTGGCGGGGTCGAGAGCCGCGGGAACCAGAGGCCCCCAAATCGGCATTCGTAGATTGGGGGTTAGCCCAAGGTGGAGTCAGGAAAAGACCCCAGGTGGAGGGCTACGCTTCCTTAGCTCAGGGGCTGTCCATCGCACTCCTCCTCCCCCCCCTCTGGCCCTGCCCCCCCCCTTGTCTACGACCCCCCAGTACACGGTTGAGCCGCCGGAGTTCTGATTCTAGGCCAGCTCAGGTCCGCGTCGGGACCAGGGCGAGTGCGCACGCCCTTTCTCAGCGAGCGAAGAATGGTACAACATAAACTTTTTCGCTGTCGGGGGCACCTGCCCCAGCGCGGCTGGAAAGTTTATACCCCTACGGTGCAACCGTAGGGGTACAAACTCTCCAGCCGCCCAGGGGCAGGTGCCCCCGACGGCGAAAAAGTTTATGGTATGCCGTTTTTCGCTCGCGGAGTGCACGCCCTTTCGGAGTGCACGCCCTTTCTCACCACGTACCAAACCACCCCAACCCAACCCGAAGGCTTCAATCTGCCCTCCATTTTCCAGTGGGGGGGGGTCGGGGAACATCGAAAAAACACACGTGGAACCCTTACCCCCCTCAACCCGAAGTTCGGGTCTTCGGGTTGGGTTGGGGTGGTCTGGTAGGTAGTCCCTTTCGGAGCTGGTTCTGGACCCGAGCCCCCGGGCCCGAGCCGCACGGTTGCCGGCGTGCGCTGGCTCTCTGCCTCCGCCAGGGAGTTCCCGAAGTCCCTCCCCGCGATCAGCGTCTTCGAGGCCGCCGCCGGGGCGCCGTCGCCGCCGCCGCCGTCGCCTTCCAGTCGGAGGAGGAGGAGGAGGAGGAGGAGGAGAGAGGAGGAGGAGGAGGAGGAGGAGGAGGAGGAGGAGGAGGAGGAAAAGGGGCAGGAGGAGGAATAATATCAGGAGCAGGAGGATGAGGAGGATGAGGAGGATGAGGAGGAAGCGGAGGAGGAGGAGGAAGAGGAGGAGGAGGAGGACGTCATTAGACACATCGCAGCGCTGAAGGCCAGGACGGCAAAGAGGGGGGGAAACCACCAGGGCACCTGCGCCCTGCACAGCGGGAGCAGGTGACCCAGTGGCTAGGCCCCTGGTCTACCGCGACCACCACCATCACAACGCCACATGATGCGAATCCAGCGTTCACGATCGACGAGCTCCACGACGCAATCTCAAAACTCAAATGCGGGAAGGCACCAGACACCAATGGTATCACAGCTGAGATGCTAAATGCAGCATCTTGCAAGCTGAAGGATGTGTTACTTCATCTCTAGAACACATCTTCCAGACCTGGAGCTCCCCCACCAGACAGCTGGCGACAAACAGTCATAACCGTCATGCCCAAGAGCGGAGACCTAACACAAGCGTCCAACTACAGACCCATCTGCTCCATTCCACTGCTATACAAACTCTACAGCCGCCTCTTGTACAGCCGCCTCCAAACCACACTAGACAAGCAACAGACCGCCGACCAAGCCGGATGCCGACCTCACCACCCCACGACCGACCACCTTTCCACGTGCCAGCTCGTGCGTGAACGTGCCAATGAATGGAGTCAAAGCCTGTGGGTGACGGCATTCGACTTCAAGAGGGCCTTCGACTCCGTCGAACATGGGAGCCTCTGGCGAGCATTCCGCACGCAAGGCGTACAGCCAGGCTACATAGCTATACTCCAACGACTATACCACGGTCAGACGGCCACGGTGAAAACCGACGTCTGCATTCGCCCTCTGCATTCGCCCTATTCTGAGGCACCAAGCAAAGTGACCCTCTCAGCAGCTTGCTGTTCAACTCGCTGCTGCAGCACATCATGCAACCACTCACCGACAAGTGGGCGGCCACCAACCATGGCATACTGCTCGGCGACATCAGAGCGAGCATACTCAACAACCTCCGGTTTGCACACGACGTGCTCCTGACCGCCCAAACACTACCACGATTGACAACCATGCTCGCCGACATGGTCGCAGCAACACGGCGCCACGGTCTTGAGCTACACCCGGCTAAGACCAAGATTGTGACGAGCCTCAGCAAGCGTGCAGGCAGTGCATGCGCATGCGCAGCAGATATCGAAGGCACGAGCATTGAGATGCTACCACACTTTGGCAAACTTAAGTACCTTGGCCAGTTGATCACGTTCTACAGCGCGAAGGACACGGAGCTACAACACCGACTCTGGTCATCGTGGGCAACCTTTCACCACCCCAAGCACGAATTGACCAGCTCAAACTATCCGCTTTCCCACCGACTCCGGCTCTTCGATTCGACGGTTTCGCCCACAGCACTATGCTTCATCAGCGAGGACGCTCACAGAACCTCAACGACGGCAGCTGCACACCACTCAGATGAGTATGATCCGCATGATCATTAGCACACCAAGACGCCGACAGCCGCGACCATCATCCCACCTCATCGCCCCATGCACTGCGACAGGTTCTACACCGCATCCGACACCCGACTCCGACGCTACATCTTCCACAGACGATGTAGACAGCAATCCACCTGTGACTGGTGATGACCACGCCCACGAGGACACAACTTGAAGAACACATCGCCGACAACGACGACGACCTCGAGCCATGGGTCGACTGTTTGCGCCGAGCAACTCACCGCAGGACTCATCTCATGCAGCATCACAACGTGTAGCTCTGAACTACTGCACAGCTGCGTCTGACATGGCGCGCTTCGCAAACACTGTGGCAAACCATCCGACTCACAGATGGACACAATCTGTCATCCGTTGGCACCCTACGTACAACCACCGTCAAAACGAAAGGAGTGCGCAAGGCCGACAAGCAAGAGTTGGGATGACGACCTGACGAACTACCTTCGAGCCCAGCTCCCTGATCGACACCCAGCCGGCCACCCCGCAGAACCTCCGACATCCTCACGACCCGAAAGACATCATATGAATGACGACAGCCGCCGGCACCACATTATGGCAGCATCTCAAGGTGGGATTCATCGAAGCACCAGCGCGGAGAACCAGGACTGCAAGACATGACATCAGCATGCACCATGACGTCAGCGATGCACGCTTTTTCCATGTCAACAGTCGGAACCCATCCTACCCTAATTGGTACGGGGTCTGATCTGAGAGCGAGCGCGAATCGAAACGAATCGAACCACGCCGAAGCTTGAGAAACCCAGCCTGCGAATGCGGCAGTGAACTCTACGAGCGGCACCAGCTCGTCGAAAAGGATCTGCCTACGCGGATGTTTAGGATGGATCTTGCGACGGATGCCGCTGAGATTGCCCTTAGAGGTGGGCAAGCGTTGGCCCCCCATTGCGGTCAAGTGCGAGGCTTCCCAGCCTCACCCCGACACTGACAGAGCCCCACCCCATACAGCAGAACAGGGTGACCCCCTCACGGGTGCCCGTCAAGAGCAGGCGGTGGCCTTGGGTCTCTTGCGCCAAGGCTCACAGGACCTCGTTACAACCTATGCAATCGAAGGAAGGGACATCATGGGCCTGTTTGGAGGGGCGGAGGATGAGGAGGAGGAGGACGAGGAGGGGGAGGAGGAGGAGGAGGAGTAGGAGGAGGAGGATCCCCTCCCCCTCCTACTTCTGGTGGCGGTGGTGGAAAACAAGCTCACCAGGACAGGAGGGTCCGAACGCACGCGGATGAGGCACCTCTTGCACGCCCATCTGTTTCGGATCCACCGAAACCTCTGGCCCCAGGAGGGCTGGCAAACCCGCGGAGGGTGGGGAAGGGCGGAGGAGGAAGAGACAGGGCGGGGTTTGGCTACATCCACGGCAGCCCTGCCCAGGACCTCGAGCCCTCTGGCAGCGCTGGCGGCAGTGGCAGCTCTGGCAGCGTTGCCCTGGCCAGCCTTCGGTTCGGCCCGGCGGGTGCCTGCTGGGACCAGTGCAAGAGAGCAGCCTTATACGTCTTCCTACCAGGTTTGGGGGGACACGGCCTAGGAGAGATTAAGTCTCATGGGGATGGTGGGACCTGTCATTGCAGCCGCGCCTCTCGAGAGTTTCCTGGGGCGCCTGACCGTTCAGCGCATTTGACGTGCAAGCGGGATGACCCCCCCCCTACTTGGCCGTAGTAGCAGACGCGAGAGGGGAGGCAGGAAGCTTGCGACGCGACAGAGAGAGGGCCAGGCAACCGTAGCCTCCGGCTCAAGCGAGCCCAGCAGCAGAGGCACGAAGAAACCCACCCCCACCCCCAACAGACCCACCACCGGGCACCGCTAAGCGGGCCCGAGGGACGGGAACGGGGAAAATAATCATCTGCCCCTCCACCTTCGTCTGACGGCCAGCGAACAGCAGCCGCGACGGGGAACGAGGGGGGAGCAAGCAAAAACCCGCACCACCGCGCACCGCCAAGCGGGCGTGGGGGACGCGGTTCGGCGCAGCTGCTGCTAAACCCGCGCCTCCGCCCCGTTGCCTTGCGGCCACGGCGGGAGGTAGTAGGAACACAAAGGCAGCTTCGATGGAGAATCCCCACCCCGTTTTGGAGCAGAGCGGGGACGAGGGCCTGCGCGCCCCGCTGGCGCTTCTGACGCCGCGCCTCGAAAACGCAGTGGAGACATATTGCGCGGCATCGGGCGATTCCGCCGGCGCCGTGCGACAATGGCTGGAAGCGAATCATGTAACCTCACTGCTGGTGCTGGAAATCCTGGCAGACGAGCTTGGGGAACCAGACCCCGACACAGACCCACTGCGACCACCGGCGGGCTTCTTCGACCATGCCCTGGATTTGGCAGAACAGGCGTACCTCGCCATCAAGCACGTGGCAAAAGTCCGAAGGAAGCATGCCACGGCCGACCTCAAAGAGGCGGCACCGCTGCGCACGGTTGAAAACCTGTGCACGCTGCCCGCGACGGGAGCACAACGACCCTTCAAAAGCTCGCGCCCGCGCGCAGAGCAGCAGCGCGACCAGGAGAGCCTGGACGCGCGCGAGCACGAGACGGCGTTGAAGGCATGCCTGCATCTCGTTGACTCAGTGCGCCAACACAGCCAGCGCTGCGCCCGCATGGATGATTGCAGATTGCCGATTGGGGACCAGCGCAGGCTACTGGCCGAGCTGCTAGGGCGCAAAGCGCGAGTGGCGAGCACGGTCAGACAGCACTCCCGGCATGTCCATCGATTCATGACGTGGCTGGAATCGCGCGGCCGCCAGGTTGCAACTGTGACTGAAATCGACGTCAAGGTGTATTTGGACGAGCAGAAGGAGCGGGGACATTCTGTGCCCGGTGCTGTGTTTTCGGCGCTGCGCTGGTTTGACAACGCAATCCAGATGGGGTGGCCGCTGCAGGACGAGCTGGTATTGACAGCCGTGACAGAAGCGCACGGAGCGGCAGCCGCCACGAGAGTGCAGGCGGAACCGTTCACGCAGCTGGTAGTGGACAAACTCCATGACCTCTTCTGGCGGGCACAAGGTGCAGAACGATGGATCACAGGTTTCTACATCTGCCTCGCCAGCGCTGTGCTCCGCTGGGGAGACCTCCACAGATCGTGGAACCTCGGGCTCACGCGGGATGCCTTGTACGGCACGTCGTACCGCATGAAGCGGAAAACAGCGCCGACCCCGTGGGCGGCGTTGCGGCACGACGCTGGCGGCCGCGACTGGGGTAGGGCATGGCACGAGCTGACCAGCGCCCTGACTCCAGAAAGCGACCCAGGCCAACCACGGAAATGGCTCTGGCCGGCGGTGGAGCACCCCGGGGAGGGTAGACTGGACATAGCTGCCCCTTTGAGGAAAGGCTCCTACCACAACTGCTTGCGCACCCTGCAGGTGATCCTCCGCAAGGCAGGAGTGCAAGACACACCGCGGGGGTACACCCTCCATTCGCCGCGCTTCTACATGCCGGCGGTGGTCCGGCAGATTGGTGGCACCAGGGAGCAGGTTGCAGCGGTCGGTCACTGGGCGGACGGAAGCCAGGTCCCTTTGCAATACGACCAGGCCAGGTGCTGCTCCGAACTGCTGGTGAAGGCACAGGTCTTGCAGGCGCTCCGGAACGGATTCCGACCGGCCGGAAGCTTCGAAGTGCCTCAATTCGGCGAGCCGCGTGACGTGCACCCACCGCCCGGGCAGCTGACTGAGGGCACCCTCGGGGACCGCAAAGCGGCCCCTGGGCTAGACGCGGAGGCCGCCAAGGCAAGCGCCGGGCACCAGGGCGACGACCAGGACAGAGACCCAGAATGGATATTGAACGTGCGGTCGGCCATGCTGCACAGGAAGCACCCGTCCCTGACGAACCGCAGCCTATGCCCGTACGTGCGCAATTACGAAAGCCACAAGAATTACCGGCTGGTCGCCTCCGGAAGCGAGTTGGACGCAGCATTTTGCGCCAGCTGTTTTGGGAAGGCGAAGGCCGTGGACATGCCTCAATGGAGCTCGCCAGAGGACTGCAGCGGATCTGAGGGTGGGGCCGCGCCCTCTGACAGTGACAGCAGTAGCCCTGCTGAGTCCTAGCGCAAAGAGGCGCGAGAGACCCCTCCCTCCCCGTCACCCCTGGACCTCCTTTCTCCCCTCTGCTCGAAGGGCAATCAGGAGCATGCTTCAGATGTAGCATCATGGGGTAGGGGGAGACGAAGGAAGTACCCTCCGCCACTGAGCGAATTGATCATGAGACCCTAATTCCTTTGACGTCTGCAAAGGAAGATATGGTAGTCAAAGGTAGTATGTACTTGTAGACTTTATTGCCGAGGCCATCGCTGATCTATCGATGATGCATGCATGCCCCCTGCCACTGAGCGTATTGACTATGAAACCCGAATTTCTTCGACATGTTACCTCGATTCTCAGAGGAACGACTAAGACATCAGGACGGAGGGGTCGCAGGGCAGACCGCCGAGAGAGGCAGCATATAACTGCGCCCGCAGCGCGGCCCCTGAGGCTCGAACCAACCGCCGGCGCTGCTTGGTCCGCCCGCCCGGCGCGGGGTGGGCAGGCAAGGCAGCATGGCCAGCTACGACGATGCTCTCGGCCGCCAGCTGGACGTCAACCTCCGGAACCTACTGGAGGAATGTCGTGTCCAGCCGGAGATCGCACAGTGGCCTACGGAAGAATCATCATCCACCTATCCTCATCAATCTTGGGCGCAATACAATGAACAGCTGATAAGGAGAGTGGGGTGGGGAATGCAGAAACCGAAACTCGAAACTGATTTCCCAATTGGGGGCACGACGTGCCCACACCTTCAAGGTTTGGATCACCACCGCCGCAGAGGAGACTTAGCAACAAACATCAGAAGCACTGACAGATACTTGGCATTAAGGCTCTGTTCCTCAAGCTCACCTGCGGAGGGTCTGGCATGGGTCATCGCCGCCGCCTTAGCGTGACTGTCCGCCCAATGGTTTCCTCGAGCCTTGTACAAGTCGTCAGAAATCTGCTCAAGTTTTTCCGCATTCAGGTGGCCCTTGACTTTGGGTACTGGAGTTTCATAACTCCTGGGGAAGGTGACCTCAGGCCAACATACCCACACGGGCGTAGTAAGATTGGAGGAAGAGTGATGAATTCGGGAGAATTCGGCAACGACGGAGTCGATTTGCCAAACGGTGGTGCTGGCTCACCGACGCCCGAGACTTCCCACACACGCGGCCATTGCCCTTCTTGCACACGCTCACCTTCGGTACTAGCAAGCCTGTGCGACGTTTTCTGGGGCCACTGTTGGGCATTATCCGATGTCCAGTTCCACCGCGCCGTTGTTCCGCCGAGGCGCAGTTCCGCCGAGGCCCAGTTCCGCCGAGGCCTGGTTCCTCCGCGGCCCGATTCCGCCGCGTGGACAGGCAAAAGAGCCAGAAAGAGAGGTGTGGAGGCGGCGACGGCGGAGGAGGGCTGGGCGGAGGAGGGCTGGGCGGAAGAGCACTGGTCGGAGGAGGCCTGCTTGGAAGAGGGCCTCGGCCGCAGAGGGCCGGGTGGAATGGTCTCGACGGAGGAGGACCAGGCGGGAGAAGGCCTTGGCGAGAGAAGGGGCCCACCAGCGCCCCCCCCCCCCCCGCGCCCCCCAGCGCTCGCGGCTTTTCCTGACACAGAACTTCGGCATGACGCCCGACAACACCATCCTCGGCCCCGCTGGGCCTGTCGGCGGCGGCGGCGGCCCGATCGGAAATTTTTTCAAAGGCTTCGTGTGCACTTGGAGGTGGAGGTTTTTGGGGCCCCGGGCTGCTTTCCATCAGCTGCGCCTTGTCGAGATGCTTCCGGAGGGGTCCAGATCTGCCCGCACGTCCGCCGGTCATGGCCCGACTGTCGAGGCTCCAGCGAAGACGGGGGCGAGGAGAAAGATGAGGAGGACGCGAAGGAGGAGGAGGACGACGAGGGCGAGGGCGACAGGCGAAGGCGGCCACCACCACCAAGACCACGACGATTACGACGAGTATGACGTCGGCGGCAACGAGGACGACCACGACGACTACGGCGGCGGCGACGTTGCCGTTGCCGTCGCCGTCGCCGTTGCCGTCGCCGTCGCTGCCGCCGCCGTGGTTGTCGTCGTGGTCGATGTGACAGTGGCTGGCGTCGTCTTCGTCGTCTTCGTCGTCGTCGTCGTCGTCGCCCTCGTCCTCGTCCTCGTCGTCCTCGTCCTCGTCGTGGCCGTCACTTCCGTCGCCGTCGTCGTCCGATGACCGTGGTGGCCTGTGACGGTCTCAGCGCTTAATGGGTCGCGTGTGGCACCCGCGTCGTCGCGGCTGGATTCCCTTCGAGATCCTTTGGGCAGAGCGCACCCCAGGAGAGGCCACGTCGCCGCCGCAGTCATCAGTCGTGGTCGTGGCGGCGGTTGACGTCATCATCGTCGTCGTCGTCGACTTCGGCGTTGTTCTCGTCTCGTCTCGTCGTCGTCGTCGTCGTCCGTGTCCAGAGAGTGATGATGATGTTTAGGAGGAGGAGGAGGACGAGGAGGATGAGGAGGAGGGTGAGGAGCAGGAGGAAGAGCAGGATGAGAAGGAGGAGAAGAAAAGGAGGAGGATTATTATAATGATGAGGAGGATGAGGAAATAGAGAAGGAGGAGGGATAGGGTTAATCCAAGACGCATCAACGCTGTTACAATACACACCTCCCTCCAAATTCCCTCTTTACACGTCCCTACAAGTATTTAGTCCCATTGCGGGAAATGCCCCATTGGAAGACAACCGCTCGAGAGTCCTCAATCGTGACAAAACACCACTCCTGAGGTTTCAACGACGTGACGGTTACGTCCTGAAAGAAACTCAAGTCTTGTCAGAACACCGTTCCCGGTACATCAGCACAGCTAATCCGCGTGACTGTTGCGTCTTGACAATCCTCAATCGCGCGAGAACTCAATTCCTGGAGCTTCAGCCAAACTAAGCGTGCAAGCTGTGGCATACTGTTAAGACAAATGTGCGCGTCGCGCAGTCGAGCTACTATTTTGATCAACGGGTCGTCCGTCATCCTTGAAGCCGTTGCAAGCTTTTCGGCATGAGTGCGGCACAAAGGCGAGAGCTACATTTTGAAAAAGGGTCACCCTCCATCACTGAAGTTGTGGCACACTTTAGGACGAATGTGCGCGGCGCTAGGGCGAGAGCCACGTTAAAAAACTGCAGCCCACCGTTTTGCAGACGATTGCAAGTTTTAAAACGAATGTGCGCGGCGAGAGCCACATTTTGAAAAGCACCAGCCCTCCATCCTTGAAGCGGTTGCGAATTTCAAGCTTCAGGATCAGAAGTGGTGAGAAAGTCTATGGCGAAGCGCTCGACCCGCTACCAACACATCTGGGGGTGCGATAGGGGGGAGGTCTCTAGAAGGATATAGGATGGACGAGGAGGTGGAGTGAGAAGGACCAGGACGAGGACTGCGGAGGAGGAGAAGGATGGTGGGGCTGCTGCTGATGATGATGATGATGGTGGTGATAGTGATGCTACTGATGATGACGATGCTGATGCTGATGCTGATGTTGATGATGATGATGGTGATGATCATGATGATGATGTTGATGATGATGATGGTGCTGCTTATGATGACGCTACTGATGCTGCTGATGATGGGGATGGTGATTCTGATGGTGGTGGTGATGATGATGCTGATACTGTGCTGATTGTGTTGATGCTGATGATGATTATGAGGCTGATTATGATTGATGTTTGTAAAGGTGATGATGCTGCTGCTGATCATGTTAGTGTTTTTTTGATGGCGGTGGTAGTGGTGATGATAACGGTGGCGGTGGTGATGATGGTGATTCTGCTGCTGCTGATGATGATGATGATTATGTTGATGATGATGTTGATGTTGATGCTGTTGCTGCTGCTGATGACGAGGATGAGGATGATGCTGCTGCTGATGATGCTGATGATGATGATGCTGCTGCTGTTGATGATGATGGTGATGATGACCAAGCAGTGCGGGCCAATGTCATGCCAACGAAAGAGGAGGATGAGGATGAGGATGAGGATGAGGATGAGGATGAGGATGAGGATGAGGAGGAGGAGGAGGAGGAGGAGGAGGAGGAGGAGGAGGAGGAGGAGAAGGATGGGGTGGTGGTAGTGGTCGTGGCGTAGGTTAATTAGGAAACAGGCGAGTAGGGGTAGGAGAAAGAGGAGGAGGAGGAGGAGGAGGAGGAGGAGGACGAGCGCGAGGAGGAGGAGGAGGAGGAGGAGAAGGAGGAGGATGGGGTGGCGGTAGAGGTCGTGGCGCAGGTTGATTAGGAAACAGGCGAGTAGGGGTAGGAGAAAGAGGAGGAGGAGGAGGAGGACGACCAGGAGAGGAGGAGGAGGAGGAGGAGGAGGAGGAGGAGGAGGAGGAGGAGGAGGAGGGGGACATAGAGGAGAGGGATGATGATCTCAGGAGCTCCAGCAGGTTATAGAGCCTTCTAGGGAGTGGGAAGAGCGAGAAGGGAGAAGAGGGAGGAGGACGAAGGGGGCAGGTGAGAGCGATGGGGCGTAAGAGCCTGAGCGATGTGGAAGGTGGGGGGCAGAAGGCCGCCTCGTTGCAACCATCACTGGTGCCGGTTCCGTCCTGTCTCGAGTCTCCCTCGGATTTGGTCAAGGGCTTGTGTAGTACAGTCGGAACCGATGATACATTTCCAAGAGTACCCTTGCATCTTTGCCTTTTCGGTCCATCCATGACCACTTTCGATGGCCAGCCCGCCAGACCCGTCCCCTTCCCTGTACCCTCCTCGGGACGGGCGTTGGTGGTTCAGGCAAGGGGTCCGGAGACTGAGGTGCCTCAAGCAGTGTCGATCCACCTTTAGGTCCTTGGACCCCTTCCTATCCTTAGGTCCCCATCCCTTGGGGCCCCATCCTTGAGCCGCCGAAGTCGGTGTTCACGAGTCTGTGAGGAGCTCGTGCGAGTACGTTTGCATGCGCGGGGCGATCAAGGGGCACGCGGCAGGGAAGACCTGCCATTGCAGCCCGAGTCCGTGGCCCTGAGACCCATAACGGGGAGGAGACCGGAGGAGGAACACAAGAAGGACGACGATCTGGAGGATGACAGGGGAGCGAGGGAGGAACGGGAGAAGGAGGATAAGGTTGAGATTGGATCACGGAGGAGGGAAGGATGAGATGAAGGGAGGAGGACGAGGAGGAGGAGGAGAGGAGGAGGAAGAGGATGAGGATGATGAGGAGGAGGGGGCGGAGGAGGGGAAGGAGGAGAAGCATCAGGAGGATAAGGATGCGGAGGTAGGACAGCGCAAATAGGGGGGGGGGGGAAATGGAAGGTTCGATGGTGGTGGCGGCGATGATGATGACGCTGTTGATGATGATAACGAATATGGTGGTGGTGATGATGATGATGAGGATGCTGATTATGGCTATGATGTTCTTGATGTGTATGCTGAGGATGGTGATGACTATGAGGATGCGAACATGTGGTATAAGCTGAACGATCCTTCTGATCAGGTCGATGATGCTGGGATTGAGGGGAAAGGAGTGCAAAGGGGAGGCATACAGAGGGATGATACTTTCTGACTCCTTAGGTTGATGATGGCAAGGGTGAGGATGAGGACGAGGATGAGGAGGATAAGCAGGTGTGGAGGATGGTATTATTTTGTAATATGATGCTGAACATGCAGAAGTAGAGGGCGGGCATGAGGAGAAGGAGGAGGAAGGAGGAGGATGAGGAGGAGAAGGAGGAGGAGGAGGAGGAGAGGAGGAGAGGAGGAGGATGAGGAGGAGAGGAGGACAGGAGGATGATGAGGAGAAGAGGACGATGATGATGATGCTGATAATGCTGCTGCTGATGATGATTCTGATGATAATGGTGGTGGTGCTGCTGCTGCTGCTGCTGATGATGATGATGATGATGATGATGATGATGATGGTGACGATGACGATGCTGATGATGCTGATGCCGATACTGATGATGCTTATGCTGATGATAGGGATGATGATGAGGATGAGGATGAGGATGATTATTGTGATGATGATGCTGATGATGATGATGATGATGATGATGATGATGATGATGAGGAGGAAGAGGAGGAGGAGGAGGCAAGGGTTGCTGCAAATTCTCTTGTGCTCATCTTAGTTTGTCGAACTGCCCTTCTAAGCAACACGGGCGGTCGTCCTCTTGCTCGGGCCACGGCGACGTGATCAGGAGGAGGGCGGGGCCGTCTATGGTTCGATCGCTTCGACGGTGCACCTTCCCCTTTCTCCTCCTCTTCCTCCTCCTCTTCCTCCTCCTCTTCCTCCTCCTCCTCCGCTCTAATCCTCCTCCTCCTCTTCCTTCTCCCTCTTCTCCTCCTCCTCCTCCTCCTCCGCTCTCCTCCTCCTCCTCCTTTCCTTCTCTTCCTCCTCCTCCTCCTCCTCCTGCTCCTCTACCTCCTCCTCCTGCTCCGCTCTCCTCCTCCTCCTCCTCCTCCTCCTCCTCTTTCTCCTCCTCCTCCTCCCCCTCCTCCTCCCCCTCCGTAGCCATTTTGGCTCAAGGTTGGCTCGCTGCGCGGCCGCCGCCGCATTCTGCCAGTGGGCGAAGGCGCCCGCGGAGCGAGTGCCCCCCCCCCGGCGCCCGCGGCGCCTGCGGGCCGTGGCCGGTCCCCGCCAGGGCACCGCCGGCTGCGAAGGCGGCGTTCCGAGGCAAGAGTCCGTCGCAGTGGCCCTCGTAGCGGCTGTCGCACTTGCCA